TCTGTCCTTTTAAAGCCATGTTTCCCAGGTGCAGGTTGTCTCTCCTTCCCACCCACTGCTCCTGGGAAGGAATGTGCTCCAGAGCGTGGATCCCTTCTGGGCTGGGTCCTGTGTGCCCCCAACGCTGGAAAGTTTGAGTTTACCAGAGGGTTGAGAGTTCTGTGATTGTTACACACCTTAATTATGTTTGCATTTAGGTAGAATATCGGGATGAGGCATTCTTTGTGCTGTGGTATTTTTACAGTGCATTTTAACCTCTGTAAGGGGTGCACAGAGCCAACAGAACACTACTCTGACCCTGGCAGGTCGAGTCCATGGCTGCCTTTCCAGAAGGGAGGGGAGAGCCATCCCAGCAGATCCCTGGGAGCAGCACGCCCACCACTGTGCTGTGATGCATGAACAGCTCCCTATTAATGTGCTTTGACAATAACCCACAATCTCAGCACAAAGAGAGAAACGCCTCAAACAGCTGATGGGATTTTAGCCAGCAGGATGAAACGACCCCCTTGGGAACGTGGCCACGGCACCGCCTCAGTGCCACCAGGGATGTGCAAGGTCCTGTCAAGCAGCTGCACCCAGGCAGAGAGCCAGAAAAATCCCCAGTGAGGAAAGGATTGAGCAGGATGCCCTGGGCTGGGCTCGGGATACCCTGGGCTGGGCTCTCTCCAAGTGCAGCACCCACCATCTGAGATGGACGCTGCTCCTGCCCTTGGAACCTTCCAGGGATGGGGCAGCCTCTCTGGGACAACCTGTGCCAGGGCCTCACCACCCTCACAGGGAAGGATTTCCTCCTAAACCTGCCCACTTTCCCAGGGGATGAGGAAGAAAGCAAACTTTGCTTCTCAAGGTTTGTCTTCCCAGATCACCTTTACGTAATTCCAATGTCAATGGCTTTAGTTCCACAGATTCCTCCTTGTACCTTCGCCATCCTCAAATGCTCAGCTCCCCCCAGATTTGAAAACAATGCTGGGAAGGGAAATAACTGTTTTCTACCCTCCCTTTCCCCCTTGTTCACTAGTTTTTCAGATCTTATATTACCAACATTAGTACCGCTCCTTAAACGAGGGAAGATCCTGGCCCCATGGGATGGGAGGGATGGGTTTCCCCTCGGGGACAGTTCCTGGCCTCTCCATGCCCTGTCCAAGCTCCACTGACTGTTCACTGCACCAATCTGCCTTTGCAGATAAAATTTTTTGTTTAGGCTCACTGGAGTTAATGGTCAAAGCTGCTCCATCAATTATGTATGAACACAAATAGATAGTTGTGCTCAGTAAATTGGGTCCCTCGTGCCCATGCGCGGGCAGGGCTCACCAGAGGGCTATTTCTGAACTGCTGACAGCCCCAAATTGGCACTGCAGGGACAGAGCCCGGCACGGCCGAGCTCCCGGTACGTCCTGGGCACGGGACAGGCTCCTGGGGTGCTCTGGGCAAGGCTTTGCCATGCTGCAGGCGTGATCAAAGGGGCTGGAATCATAGAGTCATGGAATTCTAGAGTGGTTTGGGTTGGAAAGGACCTTAAAGCCCACCCAGTTCCACCCCCTGCCGCGAGCAGGGACATCTTCCACCAGCCCAGGTGGCTCCAAGCCCTGTCCAACCTGGCTTGGACGCTCCCAGGGATGGGGCAGCCACAGCTTCTCTGGGCAGCAGTGTCAGGGACTCCCCACCCTCATTGTAAAAAACTTCTTCACAACATCTAATCTAAGTATGAGGACAGGAAGGCTGGTGCCAGTCCCGGGCTGAGAGGTTCCCTCTGGCAGCCACAGCACATCCCAAATTGTCCCCAGCACCAGGATCGGGGCTGGATGCACTTTACTGAGAATAATTTCAAAGAAAATATGGCAAGTTAGGAGTGAGAAGGACCCAGGCTGTAACCTCTCCATGGTCCAAAGCAGGTGGAGGCCCAGCCTGCCGTCCCTCCTCCCTGCTGTGCACGGCAGGGAAGCCAAGCCACAGCCTTTGTTTCCAGCAGTGGTGCAGCAGATTGCAATTTTCCGAGCCAAGCGCTGCAACTACATCATTTTCAAGGAAAGGCTTGAAGTGATCCCAAATATTCTCCCCGAGCATCTGGGCAGGCTCCCCAGCGGGGCTGAACTGGAGCATTAAAAAGGATAAAGGAGAGCGGCCCCCTCCCCGCTCGCCCTGGGCAGGAGGAGGCAGCTGAGGCTGTGCCCGGCGGGGACAGCAGAGGGGACGTCTGGGAGCTCCTGCCCGCCTGACGCCACAACCCGGCAGGGAAGATGCAAAACGTAAAGCTCCTTTCGCCGGGGCAAAGCCGCGGTTTGCTCAGGTGAGCGCCGCGGGGACGCACCTGAGTCCTCGTGTTTGCAGATGTTCCCCTGCCAACGGATTTATTCCCGCAAAGTTTTGCCTTTCGTATTCCGGTTGGGTCCCTGAGCTGGAGCTGGGCCAGAAGGATGTCACTCGGTGAAAAGCCCCCGAGCTGGCTCCTCTCCCGCCCCCACCCCTGTCACAGGCACAGTCGCTGTCTCTCCCGTTTACATAATCCCACTGGCACCGGGAGCGCCTGGCAGCCGGGGGAGGCACCCGGGCCCGGGAGCATCCCGGGAGCGGGGCGGGAGCTGCGGGGCAGCCCTGCCACGGGGGCGGCAGCACCGCCCGGGGCCGGAGGGGGCAGCTGGACGTATTTTTAGCGTGGATCGAGGGGCAGCGGGGCTGCCGTGGCATTTGGAGCAGCTCACGCTGCAGAGCTCAGCATCAAGGACATCATTCAAGCAGAAAATGAACTGGGAAGGACTTCAACTTCAGATGTGAGGGAGATGAGGACTTTGCAGGATTATTGTCGCAGCCGTTGGGAAAAGCCTTTGGCTTCTCCCAGCGCTGGGTTTTCCTGGGTCTGAGGAAGCAGCCCCAAGATGAACATGAAACCCCAGCTCCATCCCCCAGTGAAGGTGTCTTCCCCAACCAAAGGTTGTCGGGACTCAGCAGCATCGCGGCTGAGCCTGAGGGTTACTCAGCTCTTCCTCCAAATTCCCCTGTGCTGCTTCTCGTGGGGGAGAAATTGGCTCTGGATATGCAGAGATTTGGGTGCAGAAACAGGGATTAGTCATAAAGATAAAACCTCAGCCTTGTCACCAACGAGCTGCTATTTCTGGTGCAATTCCCAGGTCTGGGGCAGCCGGAGCCAGGAGAGTGCCAGGGCTGTGCTAACTCCCGTGGGACAATCCACCCTCACCATCCAAACCTTATCTAGGAATTAGGCAGAAAGGACTCACAAAGGCCCAGCTTTGGAGGCTGGTGCAAGGAATTATGATTGCCCGGCATGGTGGTGCACTGATAGCACCGGGAGCCCAGGGGAAATCAGCAGGAAAACTGCTGGCAATTAGCACACGGGGTTGTGCTCCCAGGGAGCTGAAGGCATGACTTGGTAACAGATCATGCCTCTGAATGACACCATCAAAGACACACGTCCCACAGATGAGCTAATGGGGGAACTGAGGCAGGGACAGGGCTGCAGGTGCGAGGGGTCCCAGGAGCTCCTGGATCCACTGCTCCCCTGGGAGGCTGATTGAAGGGCAAGTTACATGGACTTTGGGAGTTGCCTGTTTTCAGGCAAGACTCACTGCCATCCCCCAAATACTGCCCTCCCTACAGGCCAGAGCACAGCACCCAGGATCCCCCTGGACACTGCCCCTGCCATGCCACCCCCAGCTGGGACCCGGCTCCGGGAGATATTTATTAATCATCATTTCTGCCCTCGCCCCAGGCTCACTACAGACTTCTGCTGCCAACACGGTGCCGGCAGCGTGCAACGCTCCTGCTGAAAGTTGGTCATGGCCGAAGGACAGAGCAAGCAGCTGGACAGGCTGGGCTTCCACTCGGGCAAAGCCGCCCTGCCATTTATCAACCATTCTAGCAACTCACAGAAAATTACATCTGAGCATCCCATTCGCCCTCCCTCCAATCTGTGCCATTCCTGGAGAGTTAATATTGACAATTTCTGCAGGAAAATGCTTTCCAAGCCAAGCCCAGTGCTGGCTGCACCACGCCTGGATCCCTGTGTGGGTGCTGAAGGCAGTGTGGCTTTGCCTCTGTCCCAGGACCCTAAAACTAGCATTAACACAAAGCTGTACCCACGCTCCATGCTGCTCCCCTGGAACAGGTTTGGTGGCACAGGAGCCCTGGATGTTATCCAAAGGGCTGGGAACCAGCACGGCTGGAGCTGCCCGGAGCCCTGTGCCCCTCACCCTGCCCGTGGAGCCCCCCTCGTGCCAGCTGCCTCTGTCAGCAGCAGCTCCACCTCAGGCACGGGGTGCAGAGCATCCCAGGCTGTCCCCCTCTCCCAGTCAGAATGTCACCCATTAGTGGCCAAAAGGGACACCCTGAACAGGCAAAAGCCAGCACCAAAGGCACACAAATCCTTATTTCCAGACCAAGGCTGCCCACACTGAGCACTTCAGACTGAACTCAGCCATTCCTTATTTTTCCTGCCTAGGTTAGGAGGAACAAAAACCCTGTGAGATGCAGGAGGCATTCCGTAAAAGTGCGCGAGATTTTGTTTTCTGCATTCGCCTAAAATTGGCTTTGATCTCATCTTCCCCAAGTGAACCAGGTGAGAAGTCAGTGAGCCACCCCCACGATGGAATGGTACCCAAGGCAGATGCCTCTGCTCCACAGGACATACTGCAAACCAACTTTCCCTGTCCAGCACCAAACAAGCTTTGCTAATTGATTTTTCTGCTCATTAGCACTGATAGTAGTTATACTGAGCACTTAATAGAAACCATCTTACCACCACTGTCACTAATTCACAACATTGTATGGAATCTACCCAGGCAAGTGGGTTTTTTTTCTTGTATAAAATCACAAATACGTATGCCTGCAAAAGCATTAATACCCAAAAGCTATTCAGTTATGCCCAAGTTTAAAAATCTATTAATAACCTGAGGAGAAATCTCCTCTGCAAACCCAGGTGCACCCAGGCAGGCAAAGTAAAGAGCTATTACACTGCAAGGGAACAAAGACCGAGACCGTGCCCATACCTATATTTCATGCCCGTTTGCTTAGCGGTGGATTCTTTTAATGAAATGTGGTGCTGCGGGGTAAATGTCCCCAAACTGCGAGCGATAATTGCCACCGTCCGAAATTTTGCCCGGGCTGCATTCACTACGTTCGGGGTCGTGGTGTTCTGCTTGCTGATGAGTCTGTCTTCACCATTTCGACTCTTCAAGTTGTGGTCCGTGCAGGCGATGGACACTTGCATCGCGCCCGCGGTGCCCCGTCAGTCCCGGGCCGGGTCGCGGGCTGAGGATGCCCCGCCGGCGCGGGGGGGTCCGAGCGCCGCCGAGGGACCCCCGGCCTTGGGCTCCGCGAAGCGCCGGGGCGGCGGGACTCTGTCCGGGAGAGCCGGGCTGCGTCCGCTCGGCGCCGGCGGCAGAGAACCCCCGAAGTTGGCAGAGCGGCCGCACGGGCAGGGCTGGGCTGGCTCCGGGCTCTCCCTGGCGATGCTGGCCGCCGCTCAGCCAGAAGCATCCATGCAGTCAGGTGCTCCCGGAGCGCTGCTCCCTCATGCCGAGCGCTCCGCAGCCGCTGTGTCTCGCTGCAGGCTCCTGGCCGCCGGTTTTAAATCACTGCGGGCATTCCGCAAGCGCTGGCTCCGGCCGCCGGACCGCCAAGTGCTGAGCAGGCACGGCCGGCCGTCCCTAGGGACCGGCAGCATCCATCGGCGTCCTTCCCCGCTGCCTCCCGCCCATGGAGCCCGCGCGGGCAGCGGCCCCGGGATCGCCCCGCCGGCAGCCTGCGGGAAGGATGGAAGGATGGGAGCGATGGGCCTCCTTTGTGTCAGAGGGAAGGCAGGCGATTCAGGCAGATCCGCCCGGAAAAATCGCTGCCGGCATCGCTGAGCAAGGAGAGCACTTCTATAGCAGGGGCGTAGAACGGGTTAATTATGGGGGAAAGGAAAAAAATAAGGGGGAGGGGGAGAAAGATCGCTCTGCTCCAGCGCGTGAGGGAGTTAACACGTTAATCCCGCGCTCCTGGTACCCGGAGCCGCCGCCTGCAGCCCCCGGCTCGAAGCAGGGCCAGGGTTAATCCCTGCTCCCCCAGCACCGCCAGTGGAATAAGCCGCAGCGCAAAGGCTTTGAAGCAAAACCATTCCCATCCATCAGGAAATGATCCCTATCTCTCAGCAAACCATCCCCATCCTTCAGCAAACCATCCCCACCCCTCGCTGCGGCCGGGCTGCGGTCGGAGCCCGGTGTGCCAGCAGCGCCCGCTGTGGCACCTCTCCTGGGGCGCTGGCTTTGGGCACCGGGGGCAGCCGGGGACCCCCGGGCTGCAGAACTGCTCCCCGGAGCGCTGGGAGGGTGACCAGGGCTGGGGACTGCCACTGCCACCCGCAGAGCAGCCCTGGAGGCAGGAGGGGAGCGGGGGGGACAGGCAGTGGGTGCAGCCCCACAGGACAGGGTGCCCGTGGGGTAAGTGTGGGTGGCAGCCCCGAGTGGGCAGGTGGGTAGGGCAGGGTCACCCGTGGTCCCTTCCCCACCGTGCACAGGCCATGGGAAATGGTCCACAGGACCCTCCCCCCTAAATCTGTCCCAGACTGCTGAGGGGGTGGGTGAGGGGGCACCTCTGGAGCTCCTCGTGCCCACCTCCCCTCACTGCCAGCCCCCAGAGCCCCGTCCCCTTGGGCTGTGAGCAGCTCCGAGGCTGGAGCCCCCCACCTGCCCCAGGCACCCAAAGGTGGAGCAGTGGCCGTGGCAGAGAGAAGCTGGGGGTGCTCCTGGGGCGACAACGACCTGCTTTGAGCTCAGGGTGACAAACCTTTGATTCTCTGTCCTACAGCAGGGGTAGGCCGTGGTTCCCTCCCCTCCTCTTCCCGCCCCACTCCCTCTGAGGAGGGGGTGTGAGAGAGGCTGATGGGCAGCTGGCAGCCAGCCAAGGCCACCCACCACCCCGTGACAGGGTGAACAGCTCCTGACGATCTCTGCAGCTCCTTTATCTGATGGCTCATTAACAGGTACCCAGCGCATTCCTTTGAGGAAGGAAAGCATTAAATCAGGACAAAGAAAGTTACTTTATCATATTTTCCAGAAGATGATTAGCAGTTAATCACGCAGCAGGCCCACAAACGCCCAGTTGTGAGTGGTCTCCTTGGAGTCACCCTCAGGAAGGGGTTTTGGGGGAGCAGGACCCCTTGGAGAGTCTCCAGACACCTCATCAGTGCTCCAGTATTACAGATCAGCAAACGTTGTTAAATACACGGCAAAGGTGTGGCATCGGGGGGTACGAGACATGGGGTCGCTGATACAAAGGTGCCCCCCAGAGCCAGGACCTCTCCCAGGTCTCCCTGGGACTGGGGGATCCAGTTGGAGCATTGCTGGTGGCACCCACAGAGCTCTTCACCTACTTGGCTTTTGGAGCCCAGCTTTGTGTTTCAGAGCCCAAAGCAGGACTGACAAAACCGGGAATATTTCCCTCTCTGATGTCTCACCTACTCTTGCTGGAAATATGTCACAGATATTTCAAGATATATTTTTACCTCCCATTCTATATGTGTCTGGAGAGTTCCCACTGCAGCTGGCTCTGCACAGGCTGTGACTGTCACCCAGGCCCTGGTCATTGTCCCCACAGCTGCCCATGCCCCAGGGTGCCAGGGGAGGGCCAGGGAGGGGACAGAAAGGGACAGTCACGTTCTGTGCTGCGACATCCCACAGAACATATTAACTCAAGCCGCTTAACTTTGGAGGGGTTACAGTCTCTGCCAAAGAAATATGTATTTAAATATGGGATTTATTTCATTTCCCTGAGCAAGATAATCACTTCTAGACTAAAATGGTGGAGTAACATAATTTTGTATCATGAAAATCCTGAGCTTATAGAGGAGGAGGTACGTGACAGCCCTGGCAGAGGACAGGGATGGGGCCCTGAGCCTGTGACCAGGCTCCTGTGACGCCTCAGTGCCACCAAACTGCTGTGCCAAGATGCCCCTGTGCCTTTCCCTGCGGAAGACAACAGTTGTTCATTAAATAACTTGCTCAAAATGCTTCATCAAGCAAATCTGGTGTAACACACACACTTGTGACCCCCCCAGCCCCATCCCTGTAGCTGTTGCATCCACCCCAGGGGCCAAATAAAGAGCCAAACACGGACCTTACAAAACAAAGAGCCAAACAGACCCACAGCAAGCAGGATGCTCTGGGGCAGCACGAGCCCAGGAGCTGTGCCCTGGCTCCTGCACAAACACACATTTCATTGCCCTGGACGGTCTGTCTCTGCGCCCAGGACCTTGCAGGGGCAGGATGGCACACACCGCTGCAGTGAGCAGGATGGAAACCTCCCAAAAGCAAAAAATGCTTTACCCAGCCCAGGTCGGGTCCCTGCAGAGGCACGGATGGGTTCTGGGGCCTGGCACAGCACCGGCTGGTGATGGAGAAGCCCTTCCCAGTGCTCCTGCAGGGACTCTCTGCTCCAGGGTCAGCACAGCTCTGGCTGCAACCAGAGGAGGAAAGATGCTTCTGCAGCCCAAAATATGAACATAAACCAAGATCTGTCAGTCGGGACTGGGTGAAACACCGAAAGCTGTTGCAGCCTCTGCCCCTGCACAGCTCAAGCAGAGCACGCTGCTTGCTGCTTCCTTTTTATTTTAAATTTCACCTAATAGTGAAGCTACTTTGAAATATGATGCCAAGTCTGGCTGGAGATTTTGTTTCTCCAGGGCTGCAGTCACAGGTTGTTGACTCATCCCTGCCCATGGCAGGGCATTGGGACTAAGTGGTCCTTAAGGTCCCTTCCATCCCAAACCGTTCTATAACTCCATGACACCAGGGAGCCATGAGCCTGGCAGGGACCCCAGGATGTTCTCAGTGAACCACGACATGATTAAGGTACTTTTTCTCCTCATTTTGGTTGGAGGTTTCTGCCCTGTGGCAGAGACACCAAGACGCCATGGTGTTTGCCTGTAGGTTGTGATGCAGAGGAGAGCTGGACACTGACCACGCACAGCCAGTTACATAAAGCCCCATCCCTGCATTCCAGCCAGCAGTCCAGGGCAGCAGGAACGATGCCATCCCAGCCCCTCTGAGCTCTTGGAAATTTTTTCACGTTGGGAGAAGACAACAACTTAACACAGCAGCAAACACAGCAGCAGTGACAGAGGAGGTGGTGGCTGCCCCACCCCTGGAAGTGTCCAAGGCCATCTTGGACTGGGCTTGGAGCAACCTGGGATAGCAGAAGGTGTCCCTGCTCATTGCAGGGGTCATTGCCTTTAAAGGCCCTTTGCAGCCCAAACCATTCCATAATTCTCTGATTCTCTGCACTGCCACAGGACCTCAGCCAGGGGGCTGCAGAGGAGACCCCTCAGCACCCCAGCACCTAACGTAGGGTTTGGGTGCAAAACCCAGCACAGCCCTTAAGCACCAGCAGCTGTATCACCCTGACAGTGTTCCCTCTGCCCTGACAGTGTTCCCTCTGCTCCTGGTGCCTGAGGGTCCTGCCATCCGTGCCCATGAAGCAGCCCTAGGAGCGGGGAGATACAGCAGGACAGAAAAGTCAGCGCTCCCAGGCTAGAGACACATCAAAAATATGGTTTCAGCCTTCATAGAGAGTTTTAACCACACTGGACATTTTGACAGTTGCTTAGTTAGACTTTGCATGCAATGTCCTTGGATGGACCAGACCTCAGGAAATTGCATGGAAGCACTGAAAGCACAGCTGGCAGCACTGGGAGGGCAGGATCCTGCTCCAGAAGCGGTGCCCTTGGAGCTTTTCCATACAAAGATGTCCTTCTTTATTTTATCCAACTGTCCAGATCTGGCTACAGCCACCACAGCCACCTTCCAAAACCCCACACAGACATTTCAGGCAGCAGTCTCCAGGACTGGCCTTCCCAAGAATTATCTCAGTGTGCTGTCCCAAATCCCTGATTTCCAGATTTGCACCCGCAGTTCTGCTGCAGCGCAGCAGGACACGCCCAGGGCAGTTCCAGGTTATGTCCCAATAAAAGTTTTATTGGGCCATGAGAGCTCTGATGACAGCCACAGCCCGTGCTCATCGCTGGGCTGGCTCCCTCCCTCTCCAGAGCTGTTTGGGAACAGGTTTCCTGCTGGGATAATTACTGAGGATGGCGGCAGTTCCGTTACATCTCCCTAAATTGGGCTGATATGGACACTGGAGAGATAAGGAGCTGCCACCCTGGAGCGCTGGCATGAGGAGGCAGCTCCCAACAGGGTTTCCCTGGGATTAATCCCAATTAAGAGCCAGGACAAGCTTGTCCCTGTTCATGTGAGGAGGGGTCCTGTCGGAAGCAGCAGCGACAAACCCTGCAGTGAATTGCAGCTCTTTGGGATGTATCTAAACCCCCCAGGAATGGTTCCCTTTGATGGCACTGCTGGAAGCTGGGCGAGGAAATGAGCTGCGGAACAAAAGCCCCGCGCTTATCGAGCCAACAGTCACCACATTTCCGCTGGTTTCACATCAAAAACTCCATTTGCATTTGTAATTGCACTTGAGGAAAACTGATCAAAATTCCTATTAAACGGTTTTTAGTTAAAAGGCATCATTCTGGCAGGTTTTGAGCCAGGCTGGGGGCATTGCCCAGCCCGGGCTGCCTCTGATGGCACAGGAGATCTGTTAGAGCCCACAGGAGCTCCGAGAGCCCTGTCCACCCAGGAGGGACCCAAAGTGGGATGTGAGAGCAGAGAGCCAGGCTGCTCTGCCACCAAGGGCTGTGTGTTAGGGCTGGGGTGTGAGAAATACAGAACCAGAGAAGCTGTGGCTGCCCCATCCCTGGAAGTGTCCAAGGTCAGGTTGGATGGGGCTTGGAGCAACCTGGGCTAGTGGAAGGTGTCCCTGCCCATGGCGGGGGGTGGCACTGGATGGGCTTTAAGGCCCCTCCCAACCCAAAGCAGTGCAGGATTCTGTGATTTTATGAATCCAAGAGCAACCTCCCATCTAATCTCCAATCCCAGCACCCACTCTCCAGTCCCACGCACCCCCCGCGAGCCGACAGCACCCCGGTACAGCCCCAGCACCGAGGGGGCTCCTGCCCCCAGAGAGCTCTGCACCAGCCAGCTCTGAGCCAGACTCAATAAATCGTGGCTTAATACAGCAGGAAAGGATCAATAGTGGAACGGAGACCCAGGG